TTATTTTCAATATCTATATAATGAAAAAATAATTTTGAACAATTCAATGGTTATATGCCCAATGTTTGAACACATTTACATTACACAATTTACTATATTTAGGCTAGAGATGAATTTCTCTCAAAAAGATGAACATAGACCAACTATTTATATGTTATATTTCTTAATATAGTTTAGACAAGTTTAATTCTTCATTTCTTACAAATGAGAAGCTGAACTAGGCAGAGAGTATGGTTGAAGAGTAATTGTGCAGTTTAGGAATGAACAAACTCTCAAACTTGGATCTCAAATGCCTCACTTGATACATTCTCTCCTATCAGTCAAGCCCTTTCCTCATTCTATAAGATTATCACATTGGAAACATGGAATCACAGAATGTTCAGGGTAGAAGGATCCTTAAAGGTAATTTAATTCAACTTGATCCACACAGCATGGGAATAAATATAGATCTGCATGTCCAAGTCTGCAGCTAGAAACTGCCATTGAGCTGAATTAGGCTGTGGAGTAAGTAACTGAGAAATTTGAAGCAAATGATTGGGAAATTAGGGTGTAACATAAGGAAAGAGCAGAAAAAAAGTTCCTTTTGCCGTGGAGTTTTGGGAGCAGAGGGACTTAAAAGATGGGATGAGCCAAAGATGGTGATCTAGTGGTTTTTTTGTTTTGCTTTTTGAGTCAGAGTCTTACTCTGTTGACTAGGTTGGAGTGCCGTGGCATGATCACAACCTTCCAGGCTCAAGCAATCCTTCCTCTTTAGTCTCCCATGTAGCTGGAACTACAGATGCACCACCATGCCCGGCTAAGTTTTAAAATTTTTTTGCAGAGTTGAGTTCTCATGATGTTGTCCAGGCTGGTCTCGAACTCATGGACTCAACGATCCTCCTGCCTCGACCTTCCAGAGGGCTGGGATTACAAGCAAGAGCCACTGCCCAGTCTAGTGTAGTTTTTATGATGTAAGTTTCCTTTTCCTTGTCCCCTATGAATCTTCAGCCAATTTTTCATTCCTCACGAATTCAAGTGGCTAATTTGCAGGGATGATTTATGGAGGAAAATGAGGGCTGGCTGATATTTGGATTACATTACAATTTTTTATTTGCATTAGAAATACTTATATAAGCTTATACATTTTGGGCAATTTTCTTATTTTTTCTTGGGAAATATATCTTCATAAGTTAATAAGAAATTAAATTGCTGTTTCCTTTTTTCTTCATTTTTTATCTCTGCTTTCTTATAATTGCTAAGTTTCAATTGGTTGGTTTGATACTTTATGGCCTATCACTTTATACCCTTCAGTATTTTTCAAAAAGCCGTACAGAAGACCCTTCATGATAGGGAGAATTTGTGTATGTTCATTTTACAATGGGAAGAATACTAAGAAAAGATTCTTCCATTCCCAATATTCTCTCCAAATGAATCCAAATTTCCTGTATTTTGGAATGAGTTTGGGTAAAGTGGCTGTTCTAGAAAATCTCAGTTGAAATACTGAGAATATTTTTAGGTGGTGTTGTCACATTTTCATAAATGTGCTTCACTTTATTTCTAAGAGAAGGAAACCCAGAAGTATAATCTATCACAGTGAGAGACAGCATAAGAGCTAGGTCAAACATTGCCAGATAGAGGGCAAGTCTGGTCTGAGGGAATCCAGAGGGTAGCTTCAGGAATCCAGAGGGTAGTAAAAGGGTATAGGTTTAAGGCTATGATGAGAGTGGCTGGGAAGTGAAGAACTGACCCAGGAGATTGCATCTACTTCAAAACTGTGCCTTTTCTATTCTGTGAATGCAAAAGAAAGGAAAAAAGGGACAAAGACTGGGGTTTAAATCCCAGGATATTTGTATTTCAATTGAGGTATTTTTAAAATCTCTTCTAAAAGATCAGTACACTATTATTCTTTCCAAATAAAATAATTTCTTAACTCGTCTTTATTTTTGAACTTCTCCCCCAAAGATAAGAAAACATTTAAAAATTATTGGAGCTGTTTTTCTATTTACTTAGAAACAAGATTCTCTAAACCATATTTATAACTCTTAGTTTAAATATTTGTCTTTACCTTCATAACAGAGTCCTTTGATGACTGACTAAACATTTAAAAGCTTGAAAACAGGGTATTTAGAAATAATGAATGATTATGTAGTTTTATTCCTCTCAGTATTGAAGGGACATATAAAATTAATACTGGAGGTTTTCAGGGAAAAATGCAGAAGTTCTTACTTTGGGTATCCACAAAGTGCAAATGTTCAAGTGTTTCTTATTAATTAAGGTTAATTTTAAGCATGCAAATATTGTTAAGAATTAAATATTTCTCAACCATCTGCTAACCTTTAATTGGGATGCACACATGTAAAATACCTTACTGGTAATGTATGAAAAGATTATTTTAAGTATTATCAACTTCATGTTTTAAAGCAATGGTATCTTCATTGAATGCAGGAAAATCAATTCAAAGTTTCTACTCAGTCATGATAAATTTGAGAGTTTTGTTTTTAGATTTCCTTTTCTTTCTTTCTTTCTTTTTTTTTTTGAGTTGGAGTTGCACTCTGTAGCCCGGACTGGAGTGCAGTGGTCACTCCCAGCCACCGCAGCCTCGACCTGCTGGGCTCCGGCGATTCTTCTGCCTCAGCCTTCCAAGTGGCCGGAACTACAGGTGTGCGCTACCATGCCTGGCTAATTTTTTTTTTTTAATTTATTGTAGAGATGAGGTCTTGCCCAGTTGCCCAGGCGGGTCTCGAACCTGCGGGCTCAGGCAATCCACTCATCTCAGCCTCCCAAAGCGCGGGATTACAGTCTGAGCCACCAAGCCCGGCTTAGATTTTGTATAATTACCAGTGTAGTACAATATAATATATTGCAGCGAAAAATAGAAACAGTAATATTATTTGTTTCATTTGTTAAATTAAAAAAAAATGTGCACGAAGTATATGTGTGAGAGACAAAGACCCGAATTTGTAACTTGGTAATACAATTATGTTCAGTGGTAAACATTTCATGTTTGTCTAGGCCTTCCCAGGAAACTCATATCAGGAAGAGGTAAGGTTGACTACTGGTTTCTTGTAAATAGTTCCTGTACTTTCTAGAAAGTTAAAATAAAAGTTGACAATAATTTGTCCAAGAAAGACTTGTCTTCTCTACTTAGAAGGCTAGAATGGTTTTTTTCTTTTCTCATATAGGTTTTATGGCTTTATAAAAATGGAAATAATTCCATAGACAGACATTCTTGTATGTCTGTTCATCTGTGGCCTGAAAGACACGTCTGGTACCATCTTTCTTTCTTTCTTTTTTTTTCTTTTAAAGATGTGGGGTACAATTCAGGTTAAGTTTACAAATGTTCATTATGCAGGTGCCCTTGTAGATGAGGTGTGCCCCCACTTCCCCAGGCAGATTCCCACTACTGCCAATCCTGCTTCCCTCACTCCACCGCTTCCGGCAGTTTACTGCTACTGCGAATCCTTTTCCTATAGTATTATGATAACTGTTCAAGACCCACTTATGAGTGAGAACATGTAATACTCAGTTCTTTGTTTCCGTGAAAGGTCACTCAGTAAGTATTGTCTTTTAAGATTCTGTTGAGTCATTAAAAAAAAATCAGTCATCTACTTTCTCTTTTTTGTGTTTACTTAATTAGTACCCATTTCTGAAGATGAAATAAAATAAAATAAAATAAGAGCATAGAATGTAAATTTATTTTACTATAAGTCTAAATAGAACAAAATAATGCTTCGCTTAAATATTTATTAGTCACAGTACCTCTATGTGCTATGGGGAATTTGACATTTAACATTCATTTATTGAATAAAGTTAAATAAATGGCTTAATATTGATTATTGTCCTGTAGTATCAGAGAAAGCCATTTTCCCTACTGGCTGAGATCAATAGTTCTTCATCTTCAGAGCAAAGGGCAGAGGTAGAACTGCCCTTCCAAGGTAGAGATCAGAACATTGGGTGGGGACAGGGGAAAAGGAAGATTTGCAAAACATTTAAACATTATCCTTGCTTTGCATTGTCTTTAGACATAATGTTAAATTTATTTAACATTTAAGTAACATTAAAGAAGAGCATGTGATTTTTCTATTTATTGAAAGAGGGAAAGAAAAATGTATGAAACAGTGATGGAAAGAATCATTTGCCTGGTGAGGAAGCTCTAGAGTTCTTATAACTTGTAGAGTGAATTTGGGCTCAGCCTGTCCTTGTGTATATTGAGATGCAAAGATAATCATCACTGTGGTTTGGGCCAGTGTTCCTCTCTGAACTGATGATCCCATGAAAGATACATTGAATCAAAGAGTCTTACTTCTGGGCCTGAATAGCACACATGTAGGCCAGAACTGGGATGGAAACCCGGAACTTCTAAATACCTATCTTAGTTGTTGTTTTTGTGATGGCTTTTTCTTAGCTTACATTTGAGGCAACATCAGCTTTTTCTGATAGAATGGTTTCAGAAGAATGTAAAAGATGTGGAGGCCCTGTGATGTGTGTGTTCGTGTATACATTGTTTTTTTTTTTTTTTTGCTATGGATAAAAGCAAACTTGGGATTAGTGATAGATTCAACTTGGCACTTAACTCTTTTAGCATGTCTTATTTCCAAAGTCATTGGTTTGGTTATATTTTTGCAAACATCGAAAACTAAAATGTTCAAATGGGAAATTGCAGATAAAGAACATGGTAAGGAATAATAGGCACAAATTATTTAACTCTTATGTAAAATTTGATAAGATGTTTTACATAACTTTAATAAATTGTCAAGGTCTTGTGGAAAAAACCAGTTCCAGATGGCAAATATACGCAAAGGATTTAGTCAAACAATTTTTTGGCAAGAATATTATGAATTTTGTAATCGGTAGGGAGCCAATGAAATTCCAAGATGAGCCTAGTTAATAATCTACAATTATTGGTTAAAGAACTATATTAGGACTAATTCCCCTCCATTCGTCCTACCTTTTCTATCAACCCCACGAGCCTCTGGCACAATGAAGTGGGTCACTTTTATTTCCCTTCTCTTTCTCTTCAGCTCTGCTCATTCCAGGGGCTTGTTTCGTCGAGATGCACGTAAGAATTCTACTTTTCTATTGTTCAACTTTTGTTTTCCTAGTAAGGGAAAGTTTTAAATGCTGCATCTTTAAAGACTTCAGTTTTCCTTTAGCATTTATTTTGTATTTGTGAATTCTTACAAGGTTATCTCATTACTGTATTTCAAATATCCTAGACTTTAAAAAATGGTGAGAATTGTTTAGTGACTGGAATTTTCTTCTGCACATAAAGGAAATACAGGCAGAGTGACTTAAACTTCACAGAATAGAGTTGAAGATACCATTCATAACTATCTCAAAGACATATTCAGTGCACCATGCTTTATTTTTTATTTAAAAACATTTTAAATTAAATTAATTAATTAATTTATTTTTGAGTTGGAGTCTCATTCTGTCGCCCAGGCTGGAGTGCAGTGGCACACTCATGGCCACCCAGTGTCAACCTGCTGGGCTCTGGTGATCCTTCTGCCTCAGCCTTCCAAGTAGCCAGAACTACAGGCGCATGCTACCACACCCAGCTAATCTTTTAAAAATTTTATTGTGGAGACGAGGTCTCACCAAGTTGCCTGGGCTGGTCTCGAACCCACGGGCTCAGGCAATCCACTCGCCTCGGCCTACTAAATTTGCTGGGATTATGGGCAGAGCCACCGAGCCTGGCCTAAAATTTTATTTTAAAGATGTGGGGTACAATTCAGGGTTAGATAACCACCATGTTTATTTAAAAAACCTTCAAAACCCGTGTTGTTAAATAAAACTTGTATTTATATTTACCCTTCCTTCAGCCTGTCTTCTCAGTAACTGTTAATAGCCATTACAAGAGTATTAGATCTTATCTAAGTTTGACTATAAAGCTATAAATATCTAATAATTTAAAAACAACTATTCTTGGTGATTGAATTATTCTTTTGTTTAAATGCAAAATAAATAGTTCATCATCATATCATCATCCTGAAATTTTCTGTAGGCATCGGAACCCAATATTTTGGAGCAGATGAATAAACTGAGTCAAATGGAAAGAAAAATAAAAAGTAGCATCATAACTTGTTGATTTCTTCAGTATTTAAACAAATTTTTTTTCTTTCTTTTTCTTCTTCCCAGACAAGAGTGAGATTGCTCATCGGTATAAGGATTTGGGAGAAACAGATTTCAAATACCTGTAAGTTAAACTTTTGATGAATCAAATTGAATGTATCTGATCACGTTGGTTGTTACTCTGAAGTGCTTACATTCCCCTCAGCAGGGTCCAGACTCTGGAACAGTGCCGCCCAATAGAATTTTTTGCATTGATGGAAATATTTGTTATTAGTGCTATGGTAGTCACATGTGGCTATTGAGTGCTTTAAATATGGAATGTGCAATTGAAGAACAAACATTTAAGTAGTATTTAATTTTAACTAATTTGAATTGAAATAGTGACATGTGGCTAGCGTGTTGGACATGACAGTGCTAGAACTCTTAAGCAACCTTCGTGATGGGAAGAACTTTGATATGTGCTTCCTTTGACTACTTGCTTGCTAAATCCCCTAAAATGTTCTTAGGGACATTTTAATATTTTTTAATCTAGTAAAAATGAGAAAATTGTTTGTTTTTTAAAGGTCAGTGCCATACTACAGCCTAATTAAAGAGATGAATGGCCTTTGTTTATTGTTTTAAGTAATTCAAGGGACTCGGGCAATGATTAGTCTTGACAATTTGGTATACAGTTTACTTGCTGGCTCTGCGTGTGCCTTGACTGCACACAGAGATGTTTAAAAGCTGGAGGAACGCGTATCCTCTTTGCCTGAGAAACCACATATGCCTAGTTTGGCCTCAGATGATACTGGATATAAAAAGGCTTTCTGGATAATAGCGAAGAAGATGTGTACAATATAGAATACATATACATACATGATTTGTTCTCTAGCATAGCATCCTGTTGTATGCTAATTTTTTATCATCCCACATTTTCCTACGTCCTTTGTTTCAGGGTGCTAATTACCTTTTCTCAGTACCTTCAGAAGTGTCCATTTCAAGAGCATGTAAAATTAATGAATGAAGTAATTGAGTTTGCAAAAACATGTGTTGCTGATGAGTCAGCTGAAAATTGTGACAAATCACTTGTAAGTACATTCTAACTTTGAAAATTCTTTCTTCTCTTTTAAGTATTACCAAGCATTTCAAAGGAAAACACATTTTTGCTTTTTTCAAGTATTAGGAAGTGACCAGATTTGTTTATAACTCTCAAAAGTTGCTGTTAAGCCATTGTTTCTTCTGGGCTAGAGATGCCCTGGCTATGCCCACACCTTTTTAAAAATATACTTTATTTTATTTTATTTTATTTTTTTGGAGTTGGAGTTTCACTCCGTCGCCCAGACTGGAGGGCAATGGCCACTCCCTGCCACCGCAGTTTCGACCCACTGGGCTCCGGCGATCCTTCCGCCTCAGCCTTCCGAGTAGCCGGAATTACAGGCGCGCGCTACCACGCCCGGCTGATTTTTTTGATTTATTGTAGAGATGAGGTCTCGCCAAGTTGCCCAGGCGGGTCTCGAACCTGCGGGCTCGGGCAATCCACTCACCTCAGCCTCCCAAAGGCGCGGGATTACAGACTGAGTCACCGAACCCGGCTACTTTATTTTATTTTAAAGATGTGGGGTACAAGTCAGGAGTAGGTACATAAGTAGGCTACGTGTAGGTGAAGTTTGGGCCTCCAACTGTCCCTCATTTCCCCTAGTTCAAGATCAGGTACTCTTATATTGTTTCGTGTTTCCCTTTTCCTCCCTCCCTCGGTCGTGTCTCATGACTGATGATTCCTTTCCTATTGTGAGGAATGATCGGGTCCCCTTTGTGAGTGAGAACATGCGGTATTTGATCTGCCCACAGTCTTAAAAACATTTCTTCATTGAGAACACATATGCAGCCATTATGGTGCATTTAAATGGCAATTTGTCTTTTTTTTTGGAGTGTTACTCCATTGCCCAGGCTGGAGTGCAGTGGCACACTCACTGTCACCCCAGCGTGGACTTGCTGGGCTCCTGCAATCCTTCTGCCTCTGCCTTCCAAGTAGCTGGAATGACAGGCATGCGGTACCACACCCAGCTAATTCTTTATTTATTGTAGAGATGAGGTCTCTCCAAATTTCCCGGGCTGGTCTCGAACCCACGGGCTCAGGCAACCTACTTGCCTCGGCCTCCCAAAGTGCTGGGATTACAGGCAGAGCCACTGAGTCCTGCCCAATTTGTCATTTGTAAACATCTTTTTAAAATGTGAGGTTTGGTTCCTATTCCAAGAGGATAATAGTGATAACATGTTTTTATTTATTTTACTCATTCCTGTTTATTGTGGTAAGAACACTTAACATGAGATCTACCTTCTTAAATAGTGAAGTGTACAATACATTATAGGTGCACTGGTTTATAGCTTACTCATCTTGCTTTATTAAAATTGATTAGTGACTCCCCATTTCCTCCTTCCCCAGTGCCTGGCCACCATCATTATACTCTTTGATTCTATAAATTTGACTATTTTAGTTACCTCATATAGGTGAAATCATGCAGTATCTGTTTTTTTGGTGACTGGCTGATTTCATCTAGCATAACATACTCAAGGTTTGTCCATGTTATTGCATATTGCAGAATTTCCTTTTGTAAGACTGAATAGTATTCCTTCCCCTGTGTATATATGCCACACTTTATTCATTCTTCAATTGATGGACATTTAGGTTGTTTCTGTACCTTTACTATTGTGAAGAGTGCTGCAATGCACTGATAGGAGTGCTACTATCTCTTAGAGATGATAGCATGTTTTTATCATCAGATATCACCAATGAATTTCTATGATGATTTTGTTATCTGGGTAGAATAATCGCACAGACATATATTCCTTATGTTAGTGATAGTCATGTTTTTACATACAATAGAAAAGTAAAGCATTCAGTCATTTTGAAGAACGATGAGCTTTTGGTATTTCCTGATACATCTTCAGAACAAAGATAGGTTTACCTTTCACCACTCAAGCCAGTTTTTATTTGCTGTGGGAGCCTCTCATCTTCCTCTTAGTTACCTTCTCCCTCATGGAGGAATCAGGACTTTAACTTCATGCAATACAATGTTTCTACATGTAAATATTTCAAAATGCATTTTTTGAAAAATTAATAAATTCTGTCTAGAGCAGTATATTTTCCCTGGAGTTATAATTGCCTTCATAATAAAAATTAGAGAAAAAGGAAAGGATTCATTTATTGGAAAGTGCTTTCACGTAATATTTTTAGAATAAGAAAGAAATCTATGTTTTAATGCAGTAACAACATAGAGTAGATTGTATTACTCTTCAGTTTTAAATAGTACCGACTCAAGAATTTGAACACTCAAAAGGAAGCAGATCAAGTGAGAAACGGTCTGACCACTTTCCTCTTCAATGTGAATTCACTTGCTGCTTAGAAGCTTATTTTCACTTAATTTTTATTATAACCTTTTCCTAGCCTTTAGTTTTAGGTTTGGAAATTGGAGTAATATAACACTCCTTAAAGCTGCTGGCAGTTTTTTTCCCCCCTTTTATTTCATTCACCATAAGTTATAGTGTGATGGTTAATTCTTATGAAAATTGTACAGAGATGGTTAAATCAAGGAAAACTCTAAACGTGACGGGGGTGCGAGGAGGGAGAAAAGTGAATTTTTATATGATTTCCTAACCAAGTTTACCAGGATATTTATTTTTTTCTACGATTATTTGACTGTAAAGAAAATGAGGTTCTGAGAGTACCACATGTTCTCACTCATAAGCGGACCCTGAACATTGACCATAATACAGTAAGAAAGGGATTGGCAGTAGCAGGATACTACTGTGGTGGGGGGTAGGGAAGACACAACATCAATAAGTGTACCTGATCTCAAACCAGGCAAAGTGGAGACCAAAGGGAGGCCAAACTTTACCTGTATGATGATCACTTGTGTACCTAATCCTGAATTGTATCCCACATCTTTAAAATTAAATTAAATTAAATTTAAAAAAAAGAAAAGAAAATGAGGTTCTGCCCAGCAATTGAAGCCCACTCCTTTCCATTTAGCACACTCTTTTTGGAGATAAGTTATGTACTGTTGCAAGCCTTCGTGAAGTCTATGGTGAAATGGCTGACTGCTGTGCAAAGCAAGAACCCGAGAGAAATGAGTGCTTCCTGGAACACAAGGATGACAACCCCAATCTCCCTTCGCTGATTAGGCCAGAGGCTGATGTTATGTGCACCGCCTTTCAGGAGAATGCAGACATGTTTTTGGGAAAGTAAGTAATCAGATGTTTATTCTTCAAAATTAAAAATTACAGAGTAAATCTATAGGCCAACCCTCATTATAGCAACTACTATAACAAAATGTATTTTCAACATTAAGACTTGGAAATTTTGTTCTTATAGTGCTTTTTAAAGAAGTAATATTTGATGCCACAATATTCTATACAACAAAGACTATAACCAAAGACTTTTGGAGTTCATGTAAATAAGATATGATTTGTATGAGAAATTTGAGATTGACACATTTTAAAGTATTATTAGGCTATATAAGTTATTCTCAAAATGGATTTCATTTTAGTCAGCAATTATGTCACCAAAATTTAACCATTTATACACACACACACACACACACACACACACACACACACACACACTCTTTACCTTCCTTTTTACAGATTTAAAGTATAACAAAGACAAGACCATCACGTGCAAATTGAGCTTAATTGGTTAATTAGATGTCTTTAGGTCTTGAAAGCCCCAGGGAGTCTTCAAACAATTGATTATAATTGTTTCTGTAATACTGTCTGCTGTAGAAAAATGACTACCTGTTTTTCTTTTTCAAAATTTAGTTACTTATATGAAGTTGCCAGAAGACATCCTTACTTTTATGCCCCAGAACTCCTTTACTATGGTCAAAAGTACAAAGCCGTTTTTACAGAATGCTGCCAAGCTGCTGATAAGGCCGCCTGCTTGTTTCCAAAGGTATAACCCAGAATAAGAATAGAGGTTAATAGTTCAGAATTTGACCATCTTACGGCTAGACTTAGAAAACCTAAGTCTCTGATAGAAATTTCCCCACATGGTCAAAAGGCTCTCTCCTGCTCCCCTCAATTTTTCACTTCTCTAAAGGCCTCTGATCTCATTTCTCCTCTTAAGATTTGCCGATGATGATCTGACAGAGGGATTCACTGAGCATGTGTTTCAATATCTCACTGCTGTTTTTGGTGGTGATCACTGTTGTGAAATATGGAAACTCGTTTGTCCAATTGCACAGCAAGGGGCCACAGTTTCTGTTTACCTTAACATGAGCCTAAAAAAGGAGAGGGAATTCAATGTAGAGAATTTCACTACTAGAAACCCGGGTTCATTGCATTCATTTTATAAATATTATGGAGTGTTTTATTTTCTTTCCTGGGGACTTTAGTGATGTTGCAAGAGTTAGTGGAGGAGGGCCTGAAGTGAATTATGCACAAAATTAGGAAGTCAGCAAAGTGACAGTCCCTGGGATGTTAGTGTACTCTTGTTCTCTCTCTTTTCCTTTCAGGGCCCTTTCCTCTGGCAGTATTTCCAGCTGGTTTCTAATTACCTAGATGCTTCTCCCATGACCAGAATTATCTTTCCTTTTTATTTATTTATTTTTTTGAGTTGGAATCTCACTCTGTCGCCCAGACTGGAGTGCAG